AGACTTGAGTGGAAATATGGAATCATAGCCATAACAGGTTGAGTAGATTAGATTATGTCAGGCCCTTTCATTACAAAGGTGTGTGCAGGAACAGTCTTGTAATGAAGGATGTACATTGAGCCCCTGGGCAGTAGGGAAATGAATAGAAGGTACAAACAAATGGTCTGGGATCAGATGTGTATGTATACACAATTACTCAATAGGCCTTACAGACTTAATCATCATTTAGCATCAATTAGCGTTAATTAGCCTAAAGCCAGGCCTCCTGGAGGTGACACCTTTGTGTTAATGAGATTATCACCTGCTGGGAAAACCTGTTTAGGAATTTGTTATAGGAGACAGGACGGCTAGGTTTGTGCATTCATCAAAGGGGTATGTTTAATCTCTTATGGGGTGGAGCCTGACCATGGAGGCGCGGGAGAGCGGAGATTAGATGCTCTCCGATAACCTTCCCCTCCTAACCTCCCTAATGTATCCGTAACCGCTGAGCTACCGAAGACTCTCCGAGAAAGGTGGGGGATCCTGGCGGTGGTGCGGTGGCTTGTCGGGAGTAGGAAGCCGAGGCGACTATCCGCTGGAGGACTGCCGGAGGTGATCCCGGAGAGAGAGTGGGGTTGCCAGGCGACGAGGAGAGCGGAGTAACCACGTGGGCTGCCGCGGGGGACTGCTGGGAGAAGAGGAAGCCGGCTGGCGTCCTAAGAGACTGGGGGAAAAAAAAACGTTGCCTGTGTCCTGCCACCAAGCAGACCCCAGGAGAGGCTGTACGACACAAGAAGAAAAGGAAAAAAGGGGACCCGCTAGGAACCCCACCAAGAACATGGCCGCAGGAGATCAAACAACCCAGAACGGTAAAACTTTGAAGCAGCTTCACTGAAGTGGGTGAGTGAGAACTGTTAATCTGCCTACATGATTACTATTTGGCTACTGCTAATAGCCCATTTTGATAAGCCGCCTTGAGAAGTAAGGAAGGGGGTTCCCAGAGAGGGTCTGAAGATTAGAGAAGAAAAAGAAGAGAAAGAAGTAATAGCTTAAATATAGACTAAAGAGCCTTAAAAAACCTTTAAAAACCTTACAGGTGACATGAAAGGGAAAAATAGCAAAGGCAATATGCTCAAGAATTCCCAAATTCAAACTGCAACGATAAAAAAATATACATCGCAGGGGAAACTGACTCCTATAAGATCCCAGGAAATAAGTGAAAGGAGTGACCTGGAAACAAGCTTAGATAATAGCTCAAGATCCTCCCTGGGAGCAGCCAACAATAGTCAACAAATAATTGAAGGATAGAGCTGGGAGAAACTGAAAAAGACTTGCAAATACCGAATAAAAAGGAAATGGCGGAGATGTTTAAAAACCTGGAAAAATCTATAAAGCAAGAGATGGGGATAATGCGGAAAGAAATGGGACAACTGCTAATTAGGGTGGAAGAAACTGAGGAGACAGTTAAATACCATACCCAAATTATCCCAAAAATAGAGAAATTGACAGTGGATACTCGGAAAGAACAAAAAAGACTGCTTTATATGATGGAGGACCAAGAAAATAGAGAAAGGAGAAATAACATTAGAATAAGAGGAGTCCCAGAGTTGCTACAGGGGGAAGATTTAAAGGAGACCACATGCAAAATTTTGAACTCCATAATGGATAGACCTGGTGCGGAGACGTATAAATTGGATGGAGCTTATAGGATAGGAAAATTCCAACAAGAAAAAGGCCCAGAAAAATCAAGAGATATAATTGTCCAATTTCATAACTATGGAGATAAGGATGAGAATATGGAAGAAGATTAAGGGAAGATCGAATATTAAATATGGAGGAAAAAATATTCAAATTTTTGCAGATATAGCACCTGGGACATTGAGAAGAAAAAGGTCATTGAAACCACTGTTGGAACTGTTGAAAAGACATAATGTGCAGTATAGATGGGGTCGATCAGCATGTTTAATCGGCTGGAGAGATGGAGTCACTGCATTTTTTGAGAACCCCTGAAGATATGAAAGAATTTTGTAATAAATTTTGAACTGCAGAAAATAGAGATCCCGGAATGGGAAGAGGTGGAGGGAGAATCATATATGTTAGGAAAAGAGGAATGGCAGCTAATTAGGAGAGAAAACAGAGAGCAGATAAATAGAGGGACACCGGGGAGGAGGGGGGGAAGGTTAGAGCGCCACATGGACAGAGCCGAACTCCCAGGTAGGAATCAAAAGTGGGACCTTTTCCACAAATGATTCATAGGCAAACAAAAAGCCTAATGGGGGGGGGGGGAAGAGGAGGGAGGAGTATCTGAGGGAGGAGGGGTAAGGGGAGGGAGAAGGGGGGATTGAGGGGGGGGGGATGGAGGGGGGGAGGTTTGGAGGGGGGAGGGTAGAGAAATTAGGGGAGAGACAGGGATTTTTAAAACTGACATCTATGTATGAAAGGAGAGGTTTTGGGATGAGGAAGAGGAAGGGAAAGGGAAAAAAAAGGATGAAGACAAAAATAAAATATGGAGGAAATACGCTTGGTAACCCATAATGTAAATGGATTAAAATGCCCAGGTAAAAGAAATAGACTATACAGGGAACTACAACATAGAGAGGCCTCAGTTGTCTTTTTGCAGGAAACACACCTACAGTTAAAAAAAAAATATTATTAAGCTAAGCTCTAGACAACACCCGACATGGTATTATGCAGATTCCCCAGTTAAGAGAGCTAAAGGGGTAGCTATAGGATTTGCAAAAAACATAAGGTTTGAACTAGAAGATAGAAAGACGGACCCGGAGGGGAGGTTTCTGTTCTTGAAAGGTAAACTACAGGACATAGAATGTACGTTGTAAACATATATTGCCCTAATAGAAAGCCAGAGAAGTTTTTGAAAGAAGCTATGAGAAGATTGATGGACTTTGGAAAGGGATATCTAATAGTGGCGGGAGACTTTAACATATGTATGGATCCACAAATAGATACAACATCCAGAGTACAGAGAGGGGAAAATAGGTCCATGGGATTATTGAAAAGGGTGATGAAAGAGTGTCAATTGGTGGATAGCTGGAGAGTTGTTAACATGAGAGATAGAGATTACACCTTTTTCTCTAGTGTACATAGGACATACTCTAGATTGGATTATATTATGGTAGACCATCGACTTGTTGAGGATTTGGTTAAAGTTACAATAGAAGCAATAACTTTCTCGGACCATGCACCTGTAGTATCGGAATTAAGATGGGGAGGGAAGGTATCAGGAGGCTTATCATGGAGATTGAATGAGACACTCCTCATGGATCCAGATACTGACCAGAAGATCAGAGAGGAAATAGAGAGGTTCTTTGAGGAAAATGAAACAGGGGATGTATCACTAGCTACAGTGTGGGAGGCACATAAAGTATATATAAGAGGTATCCTTATTGCGACTGGGGCAAAGAAAAAAAGGGAAAGACGAGAGAAGATCAGTGGGCTATTGAAGGAAATAGCTGAGATGGAACACCTACATAAAAATAATATAAGGAAAGAAGTAGAGCAAAGAGTGATAAAAAAGAGGGAAGAACTAGAGAAAGTAATGGAGGAAGAAAAAATTAGAACTTTTAATAAGATCAGTGGAGAAAGATATAGATGGGGAGATAGATCAGGAAAATACTTGATGAGAGCTTTGAGGAGAAAGAAGAATAGGAACTACATAGATAAAATAAAAAACTCCAAGGGTGAGTTAGTAATAAATATTGAAAAAAGAAGAGAGATTATTTAAGGAAGGCAGGATTACCAAAATTAAATGCAGAATTATTAAACTCCTTAGAATCTGATATTACACAAGAAGAACTACAAATAGCATTAAAAAGCTTTAAGACGGGAAAAAGCCCAGGCCCAGACGGGTATACAGTGAGGTATTATAAAAAATATGCTGATTTACTGATACCTAAGTTAAAGAGATATATGGAGGCGTTGGGGGGAGAGAGATGGAGATAAGACAGGAATCCCTTCTGGCACAGGTGGTTTTGATACATAAGGAAGGTAAAGACATCACCAACTGTTCAAGCAATAGACCGATATCATTATTAAACGTAGATACGAAGTTGTATGCAAAAGTATTGGCGAATAGGTTAGGAGATCTGATGCCAGACTGGATACATGGAGACCAGCTGGGTTTTGTTAGAGGAAGAGAGGGTCGAGATAATGGGTTGAGGTCCCTGATGCTTATACAGAAAAGTAAATTGGAAAAAAAAACAGTAGTGCTGCTCTGTCAACTGGAGTTTTATGATAGACACACTGGAGATCTTGGGATTGGGTAGTAGGATGAGAAAGTGGATTGGAAAGTTGTATGAAGGACCGTCCGCGATGGTAATGGTAAACGGAGAGAGATCAGAGACCTTTTCTATGTCAAATGGAACCAGACAGGGATGCCCACTTTCCCCACTGTTGTTTGTTCTATCATTAGAACCCCTGTTATCAACAATTAGGAAAAATATAGATATAAGGGGAATAAATATTGGAAAGACAGAACATAAGATAGCTGCTTTTGCGGATGATCTATTATTCTATGTTGGAAACCCGAGAATAACACTTCCTAACCTAATGAAAACACTGAAAGAATATGGGGAAATGTCAAATCTAAAAATCAACCCGAGCAAGACAGAGATATTAAATATAAATCTTCCAAAGAGTGAAAAAGAAAGTATACAGAGAGAGTTTCCCTTTATATGGAAAGAGAGAGAAATAAAGTACCTGGGAGTAAAACTTACTCCCTCACAGAAAAAATCTCTATAAAGCCAATTATATCCCAATGTTAAACGAAATCAGAGAGGAATTGAGGAAAATGGGTAGTGGGAATCCTTCCTGGCTGGGTCGTATTAACCTGATAAAAATGGTAATTCTACCGAAAGTACTGTATAAATTCCAGATGATTCCCATTAATCTCCCAGAGTTGTATTTTAAGACAATTAAGCGAATGGTAACTAAATACATATGGAAAAATAAAAAACCTAGGATATCATATGATGTGTTAAAGCAGAAATAAAGAAAAAGGGGGGTTGGGACTACCGGATTTTAAAAGATACCATAGGGCAGCCATTCTAGCAAGAATTTTTGACTGGACACATAACTCAAAGAGTAAACAATGGGTCACGATTGAAAACACACTTAGTAGAAAGGATCTGGGTAGGAGTGTATGGGTGTCACCACAGTATAGAGAATTAGAGGAGAGCACGAGTATATACACGAGTATTGTAATAAGGGAGTGGGATAAAATGCACAAACAGAGGAAATGGGACTTCAATTCACTGCTGATGTCACTAAGAAATTCAGTGTTTTTCCCCCCAGGTAAAGAGGAAATCAGGTAGTTATTCAATTCAAATGGATTAAGGAAATGGAGATGTAATGTCACTAAGAAATTCAGAGTTTTTCCCCCCAGGTAAAGAGGAAATTTCAGGTAGATGGATTATGAAGGAAGACACTCAGCTGAGAGATGTAATGAAGGGGGTACACTTAAGAACACTGGAGGATTTGAAAAGGGAAGAGGGAAGGATTTTCACTAGGAATAGATATATGGAGATACAATCAATTGAAACAATTTGTGGAGAAATTGACGAAGCCCCTTAGAACTAGGAAAGAGTGGAATGAATTTGAGAAATACTTAGAAGACAGAGGTGATGGGAAACACAGCACTGCTAAAGCATATAAAGCTCTCACGGACTTAGATAGTAAGTTTAAATTAAAATATAATAGAAAAATGGGAAAAGGATCTAGGAGTGGAGTGGGAAGAGCACACACAGAGGAAAATATTTAGAATGGTACACGAAAATATTAGCATACGTGAGGTAGAAATGAATTTTAAATGTTCTGGGGTAAAGTTGAAGCACGAGGGAAGAGGACTGGATAAATAGAGTGGACCAGATTGCTAGACTGGAAAAACTTTATTATATACAGGAAGATAGGATGGTGACATATCATATGAAATGGGAGGAGTTCAAAGGGAAGGTAAAGGAAGGTACTGAGTAAGTAAGCATAAAGAAAAGGGAAAGAGAGGACAAGAAGAAAGGAAGGAAAAAGGGGAAGTGACAGGGAGAGTGAGAAAATATAGGAATTGGCCTTTCTTTCTTTCCTTTTCCTTTTCCAGGCCTCGGTTTCCAGAGGATATGAGATACAAGTAGATCAGATAGATGTCAGGGGTATGTTGAAGTGGGGTGGGAGGTGGGAGGGTTAAAAGGAAGGGAGTTATGGGGAGAAAATGATTTGAAACTAGTGTTTTATGAGATTTTGTAATGTTATATTTTACACTATGGAAATGTGTATTGTTTTACTTGAAAAATGAATAAATATTTAAATTAAAAAAAAAAAACTCTTATAAAAGATGAAATATTAGTTGGAGAGAGATGGAAATGCTTCCGTTGTGCAGGCCATTCTGTACGCTACATTTACATATAAGAATCATATTTGTGGCTTGGGGAGAAAGCCAGGAAAATGCATGGAAATGGTTAGATGACGCGGGGGTGCGACAGTCGGATGGTGTTTGGTACTGTTGCGATCGGGCTGACGCGCTGGTGTCAGAAATCCAATCCTTGACTTGGTGTTCAGGTCCGTCTCGGCCCAATTGAACTTGGGCAGGTCCATACACAGTACCTCTTTGGGCAGGTCAGGACCACCTCCCCCAGAGTCAATTGGCCGAAGACTAATGTCCCGCCCATGTCCAAATAGCAATAAATTGAACGCACGGACATTTGTACAGGGTGATCCATACAGAGCTGGTTCGATTGACCAATGGATTGCTAAGTTTCTGGCTTGCTCCAGCCCGCAGGGTAAAGTGTTATTCTGTCTTTTTATTCCCTTTTATTTTATAGTAATTAGTCATTTGTGTGTCTTCTTATATCTTTTGTATTTTCTGTAACTTGTTATATTTTGTACATATTTTATGCACTGCCCACTTTGGGAAATTAAATCTTAAAATTAATTAGTGAACTTCTGTGTATTTAAGCACGTGCTCATATCTTCGGAGAGACTAGATCGGAAAGATTAGATTGGGTTATATTGTATTGTATTTTAAAACGCTCGGTTAAGCTCATTGCCAATCTGTATGCAACTGCACTGTGAGTGAGTGGGCAGATTGCAAAGGTAACAGATCTGCCAGACGTGTGTGTGTACGTACGTGTGTGTGTGGTCTCAACAGACCGTTCTGCGGATAAACTGTTGGGTGGTGGAAGGCTACCTTTGTGGTGCATCTGGTGTAGGGGTGTGTGGACAGTGGAAGGGTTATCAACACCGGGGTTCAAGCTAGGATAGCTGAAAGGACCTTTAGAAGGGTGTGTGATTACTAAGCTGGTCCTCAACTCTAATCAGGGCACCAGGTTGTATGTAAGATCCTATCTGCCAGTGTGTGGTCGACCAGCTGGATTGGAGTGGAGTCTCCATCCGGTGGTGGCCAGAGGTAGTGCGGGCTGTGAAAAGGCATCACGGCTGATCTTATATACGGTTTGAGATATTCAAGTGTAAATCCCTTTATTATCCCCTCTTTACCACCCTGTCGCGGCCGCACGCGTGCGTCACGGTTAGCTAGTCGCTGTGGGCGTGGCGTGTGGTGGACACGTGACAGGGTGATCGTTTAACGGATCCTTGACAGAGTAGATAAAAGAATAAATCAAAATAAGTGTGTATAGGCTGCTGCGAATAATGAGTATACGTCCTCAGAACTAGGGATGCACCGAAATTTCGGCCACCGAAACATATCAGACGAAAATAGCCCTATCAGTAAATGCCGATTGGAAAAATTTAGCCGATGCAGGGGACTGTGTGTACTGCAGAAGTGAGGGGGGGAGTGGAGGAGAAAGGCAGAGAAGAGCAGTATATACAGTGACTGGCTGTCACTATAGGTCAGTGCCGGTTTTTAAATGCAATTACCGTCTTTTTTTTTTTTTCTTCACTACAGCTCACAGAATAAGCGGTTTCTTTTAGCTGGGGGAAAGTGCCAAGTTTCCTTTTAGTTTCTTTCCCCGAGCTAAAAGAAACAGTTTCCTCCAGGGACAGTGACAGCTCATTGAGCTATAGTGAAGAAAAAACAAAAAGCCAGCAATTGCATTTAAAAACCAGCAGTGACGTATAGACCCTGATTTACTATTGTGCCTAGGCACTTTTCTGTGAGCTAACATCTACCGTATTTTCTGGCGTATAAGACGACTTTTCAACCCCTGAAAATCTTCTGAAAAGTCGGGGGTCGTCTTATACGCCGGTGCGAGCCGGGCGGCACTTTTTCGAGGGGCGGCGCGGCGCCGCCCCCCCTCCTCCTCCAACGGACACCAAGTACAGGGGTGGGCAGAGGGGCTGCTGTACCTTACATGGCTCCGGTCCCACGATGATCCGGTCCAGGAAGCGCGGCTGCTCCTTCTTTCAGTTCGGCTGCTCGATGGTCACGCGGCCGCTCGGCTCCGCCTCCTCACCGGTGATTGGGCGCCAGCACTGGAAAGGCAGACAGACGACCAATCACCGGCGAGGAGGCGGAGCCGAGCGGCCGCACTGGAAGAAGGAGCAGCTGCTCCTCTCCCCCACTGACACCAACGATGGGGCACTATTCCTCCTCCACACTGACACCAACCATGAGGCACTGTTCCTCTCCCACTGACACCAACCATGAGGCACTGTTCCTCTCCCACTGACACCAACCATGAGGCACTGTTCCTCTCCCACTGACACCAACCATGAGGCACTGTTCCTCTCCCACTGACACCAACCATGAGGCACTGTTCCTCTCCCACTGACACCAACCATGAGGCACTGTTCCGCTCCCACTGACACCAACCATGAGGCACTGTTCCGCTCCCACTGACACCAACCATGAGGCACTGTTCCTCTCCCACTGACACCAACCATGAGGCACTGTTCCTCTCCCACTGACACCAACCATGAGGCACTGTCCCTCTCCCACTGACACCAATGATGGGCCGCTATTCCTCCCACTGACACCAATGATGGGCCGCTATTCCTCCCACTGACACCAATGATGGGCCGCTATTCCTCCCACTGACACCAATGATGGGCCGCTATTCCTCCCACTGACACCAATGATGGGCCGCTATTCCTCCCACTGACACCAACCATTCCTCCCACTGACACCAATGATGGGCCGCTATTCCTCCCACTGACACCAATGATGGGGCGCTATTCCTCCCACTGACACCAATGATGGGGCGCTATTCCTCCCACTGACACCAATGATGGGGCACTATTCCTCCCACTGACACCAATGATGGGACACTATTCCTCACACACTGACACCAATGATGGGACACTATTCCTCCCACTGACACCAATGATGGGACACTATTCCTCCCACTGACACCAATGATGGGACACTATTCCTCCCACTGACACCAATGATGGGACACTATTCCTCCCACTGACACCAATGATGGGACACTATTCCTCCCACTGACACCAATGATGGGGCACGATTCTTCCCACTGACACCAATGATGGGGCACGATTCCTCCCACTAATGATGGGGCACTATTCCTCCCACTGACTAATGATGGGCCGCTATTCCTCCCACTGACACCAATGATGGGGCGCTATTCCTCCCACTGACACCAATGATGGGGCGCTATTCCTCCCACTGACACCAATGATGGGGCGCTATTCCTCCCACTGACACCAATGATGGGGCACTATTCCTCCCACTGACACCAATGATGGGACACTATTCCTCACACACTGACACCAATGATGGGACACTATTCCTCCCACTGACACCAATGATGGGACACTATTCCTCCCACTGACACCAATGATGGGACACTATTCCTCCCACTGACACCAATGATGGGGCACGATTCTTCCCACTGACACCAATGGTGGGGCACTATTCCTCCGACTAATGATGGGGCACTATTCCTCCCACTGACTAATGATGGGGCACTATTCCTCACACACTGACACTAATGATGGGGCACCATCATTGGTGTCAGTGGGAGGAATAGTGTCCCATCATTGGTATCAGTGGGAGGAATAGTGCCCCATCATTGGTGTCAGTGGATGAAATAGTGCCTCATCATTGGTGTCAGTGGGAGGAGTAGTGCCTCATCATTGGTGTCAGTGGGAGGAGTAGTGCCTCATCATTGGTGTCAGTGGGAGGAGTAGCGCCCCATCATTGGAATACCATACTGAAATAGCATACCATATTGAAATCAAATCTGATGTTTTTTCATTTTTATTTGGTGTGCGTTGGAAGAGGGGTAGTCTTATACGGCGAGTATAGCTCAAACCCTATATTTTAACAGGAAAAGTAGGGGGTCGTCTTATACGCCCAGTCGTCTTATACGCCGGAAAATACGGTACTTTTTAATAGCAACCGTCTACTTTTAGACTGCAAAGAAATTTATTAAAAGAGAAGCGTCAACAAGTAGGCTCCAAATCGAATTTACTAACGAGACACAGATCAGGAATCAGACTCAAAAAGCAGACTTGCTAAGAAGCACGTCTAACCATGAAAAATCACTGCAGAGACATGTTCACATTGAAATTTGCTTTGCCAAATATCAGGACTTCACTTTAAACAATATCTGACATTTCAAAAAAATTTTAAAATGTGTAAAAAATAGTTTTGTTTTTTTTTTAAAGCAAGTTGTCACAGTGAAGAACTGGACACTTTTCCAG